AATGCTATGCCCAAGATTACCATCCGAGTGCCGGCGGGGAAGTGGTTCATATAGCCTCGGCTATCACTTCCTTTTGTCCGGTCGTGATGGTCAAGCGGATTAAGGCGTCCCTGTACATACCAGTTGTGGGAGTATGGGTTCGAGTCACTTCTGGGGTGTGAGTTTTCAGTTGTATATAGTCCTGGGGACCATTCAGGCTTGTTTGCATTTGTGTTCCTCACGTGTGCCCCAAAGAATGAGGTGATTTGATAAAATGCTATGCCCAAGATTACCATCCGAGTGCCGGCGGGGAAGTGGTTCATATAGCCTCGGCTATCACTTCCTTTTGTCCGGTCGTGATGGTCAAGCGGATTAAGGCGTCCCTGTACATACCAGTTGTGGGAGTATGGGTTCGAGTCACTTCTGGGGTGTGAGTTTTCAGTTGTATATAGTCCTGGGGACCATTCAGGCTTGTTTGCATTTGTGTTCCTCACGTGTGCCCCAAAGAATGAGGTGATTTGATAAAATGCTATGCCCAAGATTACCATCCGAGTGCCGGCGGGGAAGTGGTTCATATAGCCTCGGCTATCACTTCCTTTTGTCCGGTCGTGATGGTCAAGCGGATTAAGGCGTCCCTGTACATACCAGTTGTGGGAGTATGGGTTCGAGTCACTTCTGGGGTGTGAGTTTTCAGTTGTATATAGTCCTGGGGACCATTCAGGCTTGTTTGCATTTGTGTTCCTCACGTGTGCCCCAAAGAATGAGGTGATTTGATAAAATGCTATGCCCAAGATTACCATCCGAGTGCCGGCGGGGAAGTGGTTCATATAGCCTCGGCTATCACTTCCTTTTGTCCGGTCGTGATGGTCAAGCGGATTAAGGCGTCCCTGTACATACCAGTTGTGGGAGTATGGGTTCGAGTCACTTCTGGGGTGTGAGTTTTCAGTTGTATATAGTCCTGGGGACCATTCAGGCTTGTTTGCATTTGTGTTCCTCACGTGTGCCCCAAAGAATGAGGTGATTTGATAAAATGCTATGCCCAAGATTACCATCCGAGTGCCGGCGGGGAAGTGGTTCATATAGCCTCGGCTATCACTTCCTTTTGTCCGGTCGTGATGGTCAAGCGGATTAAGGCGTCCCTGTACATACCAGTTGTGGGAGTATGGGTTCGAGTCACTTCTGGGGTGTGAGTTTTCAGTTGTATATAGTCCTGGGGACCATTCAGGCTTGTTTGCATTTGTGTTCCTCACGTGTGCCCCAAAGAATGAGGTGATTTGATAAAATGCTATGCCCAAGATTACCATCCGAGTGCCGGCGGGGAAGTGGTTCATATAGCCTCGGCTATCACTTCCTTTTGTCCGGTCGTGATGGTCAAGCGGATTAAGGCGTCCCTGTACATACCAGTTGTGGGAGTATGGGTTCGAGTCACTTCTGGGGTGTGAGTTTTCAGTTGTATATAGTCCTGGGGACCATTCAGGCTTGTTTGCATTTGTGTTCCTCACGTGTGCCCCAAAGAATGAGGTGATTTGATAAAATGCTATGCCCAAGATTACCATCCGAGTGCCGGCGGGGAAGTGGTTCATATAGCCTCGGCTATCACTTCCTTTTGTCCGGTCGTGATGGTCAAGCGGATTAAGGCGTCCCTGTACATACCAGTTGTGGGAGTATGGGTTCGAGTCACTTCTGGGGTGTGAGTTTTCAGTTGTATATAGTCCTGGGGACCATTCAGGCTTGTTTGCATTTGTGTTCCTCACGTGTGCCCCAAAGAATGAGGTGATTTGATAAAATGCTATGCCCAAGATTACCATCCGAGTGCCGGCGGGGAAGTGGTTCATATAGCCTCGGCTATCACTTCCTTTTGTCCGGTCGTGATGGTCAAGCGGATTAAGGCGTCCCTGTACATACCAGTTGTGGGAGTATGGGTTCGAGTCACTTCTGGGGTGTGAGTTTTCAGTTGTATATAGTCCTGGGGACCATTCAGGCTTGTTTGCATTTGTGTTCCTCACGTGTGCCCCAAAGAATGAGGTGATTTGATAAAATGCTATGCCCAAGATTACCATCCGAGTGCCGGCGGGGAAGTGGTTCATATAGCCTCGGCTATCACTTCCTTTTGTCCGGTCGTGATGGTCAAGCGGATTAAGGCGTCCCTGTACATACCAGTTGTGGGAGTATGGGTTCGAGTCACTTCTGGGGTGTGAGTTTTCAGTTGTATATAGTCCTGGGGACCATTCAGGCTTGTTTGCATTTGTGTTCCTCACGTGTGCCCCAAAGAATGAGGTGATTTGATAAAATGCTATGCCCAAGATTACCATCCGAGTGCCGGCGGGGAAGTGGTTCATATAGCCTCGGCTATCACTTCCTTTTGTCCGGTCGTGATGGTCAAGCGGATTAAGGCGTCCCTGTACATACCAGTTGTGGGAGTATGGGTTCGAGTCACTTCTGGGGTGTGAGTTTTCAGTTGTATATAGTCCTGGGGACCATTCAGGCTTGTTTGCATTTGTGTTCCTCACGTGTGCCCCAAAGAATGAGGTGATTTGATAAAATGCTATGCCCAAGATTACCATCCGAGTGCCGGCGGGGAAGTGGTTCATATAGCCTCGGCTATCACTTCCTTTTGTCCGGTCGTGATGGTCAAGCGGATTAAGGCGTCCCTGTACATACCAGTTGTGGGAGTATGGGTTCGAGTCACTTCTGGGGTGTGAGTTTTCAGTTGTATATAGTCCTGGGGACCATTCAGGCTTGTTTGCATTTGTGTTCCTCACGTGTGCCCCAAAGAATGAGGTGATTTGATAAAATGCTATGCCCAAGATTACCATCCGAGTGCCGGCGGGGAAGTGGTTCATATAGCCTCGGCTATCACTTCCTTTTGTCCGGTCGTGATGGTCAAGCGGATTAAGGCGTCCCTGTACATACCAGTTGTGGGAGTATGGGTTCGAGTCACTTCTGGGGTGTGAGTTTTCAGTTGTATATAGTCCTGGGGACCATTCAGGCTTGTTTGCATACACTTGAACGCATTTCGTAATAACTTATTACATTTTCAAAGACTTTAGTTTACACACACACAACTATAACCTGCAAACACTAAACAGAGTTCTACTATACAGCTTTTATCTTACATACTCGCATTTGGGTGAGGTGATATGTTACAACAGTTTTGGATGAGGTGAACAAAACTTTCAACACAAGACAGAGCAAACTTTCAACACAAGACAGTACACGGTGCATTGGGTATAAATTGGATAAATTAAAAGGAAGAATGGAAGTAACTGCAAAGGGCCTATTGGCCCATATTTCTTGATTCTATATTGGTGTGGAGTCTTGAAGTGGGTAGAATATAGTTGTGCATTAATTGGCTGTTGATTGCTGGTGTTGACTTCTTTATGTGTAATGCCTCGCAGATGTCAAGCCACCTGCTATCGCTGTATCTATCGATGATTTCTGTGTTGTTTGTTATGACTTCTCTGGTGATGGTCTGGTTGTGGGAAGAGATTATATGTTCCTTAATGGAGCCCCTGTTGCTTATGCATCGTTAATCGCCTGGAAAGAGATGTTGTCTTGCCTATATACTGAGTTCTTTGAGGCTTACAGTCCCCAAGTGGGCATTTGAAGGCATAGACAACGTTGGTCTCTTTTAAAGTGTTCTGCTTTGTGTCTGGAGAGTTTCTCATGAGTAGATTGGCCGTTTTTTTTGGTTTTATAGTAAATCGTCAATTGTATCTTCTGATTTTTGTCTGTAGGGATAACGTTTCTATTAACAATATCTTTCAGGACCCTTTCCTCCGTTTTATGAGCTGTCGAAAAGAAGTTCCTGTAAAATAGTCTAATAGGGGGTAAAGGTGTTGTGTTAGTGTCTTAGTCAAGAAGAGATTCAACTATTCTTGAAAATATCTATGGAAAACACCATCATGAAGCTGCTAACATTGTTCATTTATGCTACTTGTATCAGATGCATCATCACTGCATGCAGAAAACGATTCATCTGTGTATCATCTAAATAAATTGGAGTTAGCATAGGTGGGCAAGGGTTCTTTCTCAAGGGAAGATTTACTATCTTCTGAATTAGGGCTTCTATCCCTCTAACTATTTTCTTAGCATCAGGGCTTAGCTGAAATAGGAGTTCTCCAAAACTCATTTTCGTAATTTCAAGGTGAAGAAAAGAAGTGAATTACTATAGAATGTAGCTCAGAGCTACAACTGGATACGCTGGCTGTATCGTCCTCATAGGTGCTGTATCACTTGCATCCAACCTTTGTGTTAGGTCCTTATTGCACCTAGCTTCACCAATATTACGACCCTATGTTCTTCAAACAATAAGGTTTGAATTGCACTAAGAGAACGCGATCTTTCAACACAGTGTCGGACAGGTGTTTGGGAGGCAGAGGCGCTTGCGCCACCCATAGTTGCTCACTCAGTACTAACCCAGCCAGCAGCCCTAGGGCATTCTGGGAATTTTTTCAAGGATGGCTGCCTCTCACTGGAGGTCCTAAGAGTCCATTTCGTACGCAACCAACCGCGCACACATTTAGAATGGGTACAAAAAATCAAAGAGTTTTCTCGGTTGGCGCAGTTTCCCACCGACCGAGAATACTCAGTTGGCGCAGTTAAGGGGTTAAAGAACACAATAAAGTAGCCATCACAACTGCAAGAAAAATATCAAGTTGGATAACAGGAACCTTTCAAACTAGAGATGCTATACCAATGATGATACTCTTCAAGATGCTAGTGCTCTCTAGAGTGGATACTACTGCACAATGACAGCCCCTTGAAAGCTGGAGAAATTGCTGACCTGGAGAGCGTGTAGAGATTCTTTACTGCTAGAATCCACTCAATAAAACATCTAAACTACTGGGACCGACTAAAGAGCCTAAATCTGTATTCTCTTGAGCGAAAGGCGGGAGAGATATACAACAATTTACAGTGACAATGACCTGCTGCTGGCTTTGCAACAGTAGGTCATTTGAATGGAGATTTTAATCAATTCCATGAAAAATTAATTGAAGCAATGATAAAAAAAAACTCACTCTTAATGAGGATTTGCAGGGTTGGATTATGCGGTGGACCATGACCCACATCATAAGGGATGACTGTTGTCAGATACTGTGGAAAAATAATCATACACTGGAATAATAAGGCAACTTTAAATGAAGAGGAACATCACATCACAAATACTGAGAAACAATTTAATAATTAATATCCAGATTCTTTGTGGCCAAGTAATTTCTACATGTGCTAATTGTCCTGCATTGAGATACCTTACCAGAATGCCTGTATAACATGTCATATAACTGTCAATCCTCTTTTGGTTTCCCTGGATTATTATTATTTTATGTTTTTTTACAAGGTTTTTACACAAAATAAATATTAAAAACACCACTGGAAAACAAGTTCTTATAAAAAGCCACTATAATGAACAAAAAACCAGCGTTTAAAGTAATGAAACGGCATTTTCTGGGTGTGACCCGGAGGCTCCCCAGAGCTTACTAGGCTGATATGCTAATGTCAGACTTTGGCATCAGTCGTGTATGGAGTTCTGTGGGCCTACTGGGGACCACGAGCCAGAACCTGGCCCCCTCGGAGAGGCATCGGGAGCAATGGCCTATAGAAACCCGTGTGGTTGGAAGAATTCTATGTCTGCCATCGACCGGGTCTGGCACCCAGAAAGGTAAGCATCCCAAAACAAACCAACATTCTGGTGAAAATATTGCTACCAAAAGCCGAACAAGTGGATAAAACTCCCTTAAAAGAAACGAGCAATCGAACACGACGTCACACGTCGCCGCGCCACTGTCTGTGCAGCTTCCCCCTCCCCAGGAGAGAAAAGGGCGAGCCCCAGACCCCCCCCACCCCCCATGCCGGCTATCCACCCGTCAGTTCTGAGGTTGGATGTCAAAACACGTGAAAAACCGCCGACCAGATAGAGGGAGGGATGCCGGGGAGCCTCTGGGTCATACCCATAAAATGCCGTTTCATTACATTCGATGCTGGTTTTCTGGGGGGGGGGGAAACCCTGTCGGCTCCCCGGAGCAAACTACCCACAGAAGAAAACAATAGGGACTTACGGTTGGCGGTTGCTGCTCACTCCTCAACTTGAAGTCGAGACAACTGGCTGCAACCGCCGACCCAAAGCAACACAGGCCTGCCTGGGCCCCAGAATGTTCACGAGGCAACAAGCAGTCAGGACCCTGTTCAACCGCCAAAAGCCCCATGTCCAAAAGTCAGCCCAGGACATGTTACCAAAGACAGCAACAAGAACAGCAAACTTACGAACATTATGGGCATGGGGATAGACCGCAGGCTGGCTAGCCTTAATAACTCTGCGGACGACCTGGGAGACCCGCACCCTCGAACATGTTAGACGGGAAACTGGATCAACCCAAAGCGCATCCCTGAACACAGTTGCCATGGCGCGCAAATAACGGCGAAGAACTACAACCGGACAATACATGATGCATTCCCGGCCAAACCAACCAAGCATCAACAACCCAGGGACCCTCCGGAAAGCAGCAGTCTCATTCTTCGCTAGAAAAGGAGGAAACGGCTGCAGACGAACAAAACCATCACGAAGACCGAAAGAACAGAAACCCCTGTGCCAGAGGAGAGCATGAAGCTCCCTGACCCAACCCCCAAAGGCCAATGCCAACAGAAAAAAAAAGAGCCTTGGAGAAACAATCCTGAACCGAAGGGGTAACAACAAACCAAGGAGAAGAAAGAAAAGAGAGCACTCTGTCCAGCGACCAGGATGGCTCGGACGCACAAGACAGCTTGCGAAATGGCACAGAAGTAACGAAGATCGAAAGCAAGTTGAAGCGGCTCCACCAGCGCCGCACGATACGAGGCAACTGTGTTATATATTAGATGATTGTCCTGAAACAACCAAGAGAGAAAGGACAACATGACCCTAACAGAAAGCAAAGTACAACAACAAAGACGTAAAAAGACCGGAAAGACCGCCAGGAAACTTTATATTTCCGTCGAGATGAAGCCCACAGGTGAGACACTAACAAGAAAGCCACCTGATCACCATATAGATGATAAACTCGAGTCAAAACAACCATACGCGAAGACTCGAGGAGAAGATCGAACCATCCACGTGAGGCTCCGGTTCGATCTGCTGGAAAAGGCGGAGCCGCGGGAAAACCTCTGGGTTCAGACACCGAGCAAGCAGCGCTGGAAACCACGGCTGGGTCTGCCTCTATGGGGCCATGAGGACTACTCTCCCCAGTTAAGTCTCCAAGCGAGTCAGGACCTGGAGCAACAGCTGAACTGGGGTAAAGAGGTACAGGAACCCCCACCTCGACCAGTCCTGCTGAAATGCATTGACCCCGACGGCCTCGCAATCGGGGAAGGGCACTACATACACAGGAAGGCGCCTGGACCAAGCCGGCACGAAGAGGTCCACCTCGGGGTGCCGTCCAGCAAGGCTAAAGGAAGGAGTCGGCGTCGACCGTCCATTCCGTGGAAAGGTGGAATGAAACGAGACAGGCTGTTGGCCAGGACGTCGGACACTCCCCGCATGTGAACAGCCAGGAGAGCTAAACCCTAAGAACTCAGCAGACAAGTCACCCGAACCGACCAGCGCCAAAGAGCAAAAGACTGCATCGAACCCCCCCTGTTCAGACAATGAACCACTGGAGAGCAGTCCAAATGGAGCTGGATCGTCAATCCGTGGGTGACCCATCCTTCCGCAGCGCAAACCACACTGCTGCGAACTCCCGCATCATGCTGTGGGCCTGACAGAAGGATGGACCTCACCGCCCCTGGCCGGCCTGGTAAGCACTGGTCACAAAGCGCCAGCCGTGAGACGACGTGTCCGTGAACACATCGAGTGAGGGCTCGGGCAGGCGCAAAGGCACTGACCCCTGAAAAAACCCGAAAAGGAAGCCGGTGACGCAGCAGCCGACGCAAGGCCCCCAGGGTCCGAACCCAGCGATCGTAAGAGAGGCAGAAGGGACGTCCCCAAAGGAACCGGAACAGCCGACAGAGCTAAACCCGACCCAGCGGGAAGACCATCGAGAAGTTCAAGCTCCCACACAGACCCCTCGAGCAACCGTCAGGTAACCAGGGAGTCACCCGGGCTCACTTGAAAAGACAAGGAAGAGGTCCGAGAGTTCCACACAAGACCCAGCCAGGTCTGAACCTGGGAGGGAACCAAATGGGACTTCCTCCAATTCACCAAGAACCCGAACCCAACGAGCTGGGAAAGAACCAAATTCCTGGCCAGCAGACAAGATGACCGGCTGGGAGCCCAAACCAGCAGGCGTTGAGGTAGGCCAACACCCGAACACCTAAGAGATGCAGACGGGCCATCACGACCTGGGTAAGGCGCGTGAACATGCAAGGTTCCAGGTTCAACCTGAACAGGAGACAACGAAAGCGGTAACCCTGATGCCCCACAAGAAAACCGAGCCAATCCCTGAAGCCCAGGTGAATCGGCAAGTGCCAATAAGCATCCTGAAGATCCAGGGACACCATCCAAGAGCCCGGCTCGAACAGGAGCCGAATCTGGGACAGCATAATCATCCGAAAGGAGGGGCAATGAATCCAAGGGTTCAGATAGGACAAGTCTAAAATGAACCGCAGATCCACACAGTCCCATTTCGATACTGGGAACAGACGGGAAACCCATCTGAGGGGCATCGTCATTTCGACCACGGCCAAGCGCACCCACTACAAGACGACCTGACCGAGCACAGGGGAAGAAGCCTGCCCCACCATCCCCGAACCCCCCCGAAGGAGGAAGGACCACCCAACTCCACCACAGGCCGAAGGAAAAGACTCGAAACACCCACAAATCGTGGAAGCAGGCATGAGCGAACAGCGCCAGCCTTCCCCCCTCCCCCCCCTCCCTATCGCCCCGTCAATGGGATAAACTGCGAAAGGGTTCACAGTTCGAAACCTTTCTCCTTACAAGACCCAGAACCTCGCACAGAGCGAACACCATGCCAACCAGACGAAGGCGGGACCAAAGGAGGGGCCGGACCAAAACCTGACACCAGTGCCCTACCACGACTAGTGGAACCCCGAGCCCTGGCATAACCCCCCAACCAGGAAGGCCCCCCCCCAGGACCCCTGGAGAACCAACAAGTCAGACATAGGACGACAAGTTGCCGACGCAGCCTGTATATACTGTGCCACAGCCAAATCCTCAAAAAGCAGAGGACAAAAAGCTTCCAGGGGTGACTCTCGCACCCCTGGAAGACAGCCACCATACTCAAAGCACAATGCTGAAAGACCACTGGAGCTAGAGCACACGACCTCCACCTCTAGCATCAGCCTTAGAACTGACGAGTAGATAATCAACATGGGGGGGTCTGGGACTACTTCTTCCTCCTCCCCGGGAAGGGGGGAGCCACGCAGACAGCAGCACAGCGACATGTGACATTATGCTCGTTTGCTCGTTTCTTTTAGGGAAGTTCTATCCACTTGTTCGGCTTTTAGTAGCAATATTTTCACCAGAATAGGGGTTTGTTTTGGGATGCTTACCATTCTGGGTGCCAGACCTGGTCGAGGACAGACATAGAATGCTTCCAACCACACGGGGGTTTCTATAGGCTATTGCTCCCCATGCCTCTCAAGGGGGCCAGGTTCTGGCTCGTGGCCCCCGGTAGGCCTACAGAACTCCATATACATGACTGATGCCAAAGTCTGACATTAGCATATCAGCCTAATAAGCTCCAGGGAGCCGACTGGGATCCCCCCAGAAAAATCGGTGAAATATTCTATATTATGCTACTGAGAGTTCAAGAACAATTGTACAATGACCAAAAGAAGCACACACGGTTGCAGTGCAGGTCAGTATCTTATTGAATTGATACTGGATCAATATTGATGATCATGAGTTAATACAGTACCAGGGCACATTAGTAATGTTAGTCCAACATCAAATTAATGTGATGTGTCCTGGATTTCAAAAATTTTTGAGATGTCGGAAAACCAGCGTTGAATGTAATGAAACGCCATTTTCTGGCCGAGACCCGGAGGCTCCCTGGCGCTATCCGGGCTGATATGAATGTATTAGATCCTGGCATCAGTCAAGCGAACGGAGTTCTAAGGCCTACCAGGGACCATGAGCCAGAACTTGGCTCCTCTCAGAGGTAAGAGGAGCAATGGCCTATAGAAACCCCTGTGTGGTTGGAAGTATTCTATGCCTGCCACTGACCGGGGTCAGGCACCCAGAAAGATAGGTGCCCCAAAACAAATTCTATCTGGTTAAAAATTGCACATGAAAGCTGAACTGTTGGAAAGAACTCCCCAAACTAGTAACGAGCAAACAAGCATGACGTCACAACAGTCACCACACCGCTGTCTGCACAGAAAGGGGGAGCTCCAGACCCTCCACACTGGCTATCCACCCCCAGTTCTGACCCCTGGATGTCAAAAACCCATGAAAACCATTGACCAGAGGAAAGAAGGGATGCAGGGTAGCCTCCGGGTCTCACCCAGAAAATGGCATTGTAATACATTCAACCCTGGTTTTCTGTGGAGAGCCCCTTCGGCTCCCCAGAGCTACTTAACCAAAGATAAAACAAGAGGGACTTACTTACCCGGGAGGTGGTTGCCACTTGCTCCTCAACACTAAGTTGAGACAACTAGCTGCAACCGCCAACCACATGCCAGGCTGAGACCAGGAACATTGATTAGGTAACGAGCGGCCAGGACCCTGTTCAACCTCCAAAAACCCTGTGTCTGAATATCAGCCCAAGACATATTACCAACGATGGCAGCCAATGCAGCAAACTTACGATCATGGGTACAAAGACAGACCGCAAGCTGGCTGGATGAAATAACCCTGCAGATGACATGGAAGCCCTGAATCCTGGAACAGGTTAGAAGGGAAACTGGGTCAACCCAAAGCAGGTAACGGCAACAACCGGACACAACACATGATGCACCCCCGACCGAACCAACTAAGCATCAACAACCTAAGGACCCCTCCGGAAAGCAGCAGTCTCATTCTTCCATGGAAAAGGAGGTCTCTGCTGCAAAAAACCTACCACCAAGGCCAACAGAGCAGAAACCTGTGTGCTGGAGCAGAGCACAAAGCTCCATAACCCAACCCCCAGACATTGACAGAAGCCAATGTTAACAAGAAAAGAGCCTTCACAAAACAATCTTAAACCGAAGGAGCCACAACAAACTGAGGAGGAGAAAGGAGAGCACCCAGTCCAATGACCAGGATGGCTCAGGTGGAGCATGAGCAGGCCAGTGGCGAAACAACGCATGAGACAGCTTGTGGAATGGAGCCAAAATAATATCCACCCTGAACACAAACCGAAGCGTCTCCACCGGTGCCACACAATATGAGGCGACAGTATTTGGCTAAGATGACGGTCCTAAAACAATCAAGAATGGAAGGACAAGACAACCTGATCCGAAACAGAAAAAAAACCTATGGAGGGACAAGAAATAATGAAAGGACCACCAGCAAACTTCATACTGCCAACGAAGCACACAGGTGGGACACCATCAACAAAGTCACCTGCTCACCATACAATTGGTGATAGACCCAAGTTAGAAGGACCAGACATGAAGACTTGAGGAAAAGATCAAACTAGCTATGTAACAGACTGGCCCGATCTGCTGAAAGAGGTGGAGCCACGGGAAGATATCCGGGTTTGGACACAGAGCAAACATTGCCTGAACCAAGGCTAGGTCGGTCACCAAGGGGGCCAGGACTACTCTCCCTTGGTAAGTCTCCAAGAGAGCCAGGACCTGGAGCAACAGTGGAACTGGGGAGAAAGTGGTACTGGTAACCCCACCTTGACCAGTCCTGCCTGAAGGCATCGATCCCAACGGCCTTGCAGTCGGGGAAGGGCACCACATATATATTGAGAGACACCTCGACCACGCCGACGCGAAGAGTTTCCCCTCTAGGAGCTTGTACGTCTGGCAGAGCCAACTGAACGAGTCAACGTCAACCGTCCATTCCGTGGACAGGGAAATGAACTCTGACAGGCTGTCTGCAAGGACCTAGGACACGCCCCCCCCCCTGAACGTGAAATGCTAGGAGAGCTAAACCCTGAGAACTCAGTCAATGAACCACCAGGAAGCAATCCAAATGGACCCGGATCATCGATCTGCAAGTGACCCGAACCCTCCAAAGTGACATCCACACCACTGCAAACACCTGCTATGTGCCTGACAGAAGGACAGACCCCCACCCCCCTCCTGGCTGGCTTGGTGAGCACTGGTCACAAAGCCCCAGCCAAGAGACGACGCATCCGTGAACACATCGAGCAAGGACTTGGGGAGTTGCCAAGGCACTGAACCCCAAAAAACCCGATGAGGAAGCCGACGACACAGCACCTGACATAAGGCACCCAGAGGCCAAACCCAGTGATCGTGAGAGGGGCAGAAGAGACGTCCCCAAAGGAACCAAAACAGCCGACAAAGCCAAACCCAGTCCAGCGGGTAGACCATCACGGCAAAGTTCAGACTCCCACAGAACCCCTTGAGTAACTGCCTCATGACCTGGGAGCCCACCAGAAACAGTTAAAGGTGAGATCGCAGCTGCAGCAGAGGCTCCAGTGGATGAGACAAGGAAGCGGTCCGAGATTCCCACACAAGACCAAAACAGGTCCAAACCTGAGAGGGAACCGAATGGGACTTTTGCCAGTTCAATAAGAACCTGAATCCAGCGAGCTGGGAAAGAACCAAATCTCTGGTGAGCAGACACACGGACTAGCTGAGGGCCCACATCAGCCAGTTGTTGAGATAGGCCAGCATCGGGACCCCTAAGAGATGCAAATGGGCCACCATAACCCGAGTATGACGAATGAAAACACGAGGTGTCAGATTCAAGCCAAATGGAAAGAAATGAAAGCGGTATGCCTGACACTCCTCAACAAAACCGAGCCAGTCCCTGAACCCCGGATGAATCGGGATGTGCCAATACATATCCCGGAGGTCCAGGGACACCATCCAAGCACCCAGCTCCAAAAGAAGATGGACCTGGGGCAGAATAGTCATCCGAAAGAAGGGGCAAAAAACCCAGGGGATTCAGACAGGACAAGTCCAGAATGAACTGCGGGTCCACTCAGTCTCATTTCGGAACCGGAAACAGATGGGAAGTCCACCTGAGGGACAAGGACATTTTGACCACACCCAAGCATACCCACTCCAAAATGACCTGACAGAATGCAGGAGAAGAGGCCTGCCCCGCCAGCCCCGAACTTCCTGAAGGAGGAGGAGCCACCCAACACCACTGCAGGCTGCAAGAATCAACCCAAACTGCCCGTGAATCGTGGGACTAGGTGCGAGCAAACAGCTCGAGCCTCCCCCCTTCCCCATCTCCCCATCAATGGGACAACCCACGAAAGGGTCGACGCCCCTTACGAGAAGCCGACCGACGAGCAGAGTGATCACTGTGCCAACCAGACACCATCAGCTCCGAAGACAGCGCCGGCTCTGAAACTGGCCCCACTGGCCTACCATAATGGGAGGAACCCCGAGCCCCGGCATGAATCTTCCAGGAAAACCCCCATGGGCCCCCCAGAGAACCAACAAGTCTGACATGGGACGACAACTTGAAGCTGCCTGCAATAACTGCACCACCGTAGACTCTGCAAACAACACAGGACAAAAAGTCATAGAAAACCTAAGAGCCAGAGCCCAAGCAGATTCCAAGGATTGTTCGAGCACCACCTACATGAGAACAGAGAAACCGCTTCCCTTAGGATCGGCGCAAACAGCTTCAATAAGGGAGACGATGCCCCGTACCGCCGAGACCAGCGCACCAGAACCAGGATCGGCACCCAGCACCTCCACATCCTGCTCAAACCAGTTTGAAGACAGCTCAAGAAGGGAAAAGAAACTCAAGACCAAAGCCAAAGTTGCACGATCACCAGGTCTCACATCAGCCACATAACTGGGGGTGGATAGCCAGCACGGAGGGTTTGCAGCGCCCCCCTTCCCCCTCCCAGGGAAGGGGGGAGTTCGGCTTGTTAATTGTTTGGCTTTCAGGAGCATTTTTTAACCAGATGGGGTTTGTTTTGGCATGCCTACTTTTCTGGGCGCCTGACCCAGTTAATGGCAGACATAGAATGCTTCCAACCACACATGGATTTTCATAGGTCATTGCTCCTCATGCCTCCCTGAGGGGATGCAAGGTTCTGGCTCGTGGTCTCTGGTAGGCCTAAGAACTCCACTCACTTGACTGATGCCAGGGTCTAATACATTCATATCAGCCCGTGAAGCTGAAAGGGCTCCCCTGCAGAAAACTACAAAGTTTGTCGTTGTTCCGGTTATTTCAAACACAACTTCTCAGTACTTAAATGTATACATTTAATGAAACTTTAAAGCACTCAGGTTATGTAAAAAGATGATTGATTTGACCTTTATAGTATTAAAATAATTAATCTCTCTTGGTTTATTATAGTTCAAGTTAGAGATAGTATGCCTGAAAGGCATATCCAAACTTCCTTTTTCCTGATGGCCACCAGTATTTAAGCATTCTAGCATGGCTTAACTTATTACTCCTGTCCATGACTCTGATCTTTACAATAACAAAAGACAACATATTAACCGTATACTAGAAAACTAGTGATATTCAAACTAGGGTCCAGGATTTACCCACTTCCGAATGCAGTAAAAAAATCATGTAATGTACAGTAACATGTGGAGATTCAGGGTTGTAATTATCAACAGACATGTGGAACTTGGTGTTATTATCTACAAATTGTTTTACTCTGAGGTAGTAGAGTAATGCAGGACTGGAATAAACCCATCTCTGGTTAACATCCTCATAGTAAAGGAGAGTACTGCACTGTATTTTACATTTCAATAAGTAATGAGATAAATCTCCAAGAATTTCAAGATTTTAAATATTGTATTACACTTACAATTCCTGGAAATGTAAAGCATACTGACCTCACCATGGTCATCAACCACTTCTCATTTCCATAGGAAGGTGACAATCACCCATAAAAGGATGTAAAAGTGATTAATATGTGTTAAAGATACTCAGTGCAGCACCCAACCCCCCATCAATGCTAACTTCCCCACACATCATCACAGGCTCAAGTTCACTGTCATAATAACAAAATTGTATTCTAAAATGGAATGGCAAATTCACTTGGCATCTTAAAACATCAAATAAAAAACAAGAAGGGACGGCCACAGTAAAATTCAATCCACCTTCGGATCTGTGCCATTTGGTCCAACCTTCTTCTGTTTTTTCTTCTCCACGTTAAAGTTCCGTCTCTTGTTCTGCACCTGTAAAAAAAAAAAAATTGCAATTACTTCATGCTCAAGAAGCAACTAATCACAATATATAACTGCTAGAGTTTTTTTTAAATAAACGGCATCTAAACTGTCATATGTAAATATTATTGAACTTTGTATCTCTTATATTATTTTAAAATAGTTTTCAGTTATTAATCTATTATATATCACCTCATGCCTGATGCTTTTTGGAAATTTGTTTGTGCACAAAAATTATCATTCATCGAGCACAATTAAATAAGACAAGCAAAATAATATGATAGTTATTAGACTATAATGTTCTCTTTCTTAACCACTGGGCTCTGCCACTCATTATACCATGCAACACCCAGCTGCATATATGATCAAAAATTATATAAAAAAAATTCCTAATATTGTTAAAATACATTACCTGATCACAAGAAAAATAATACAAATTGTATACGACTTACTTTGGCAGTGGTTAAACCCGAGTCTCTCATGATGACATCACAATTCATGTGTTAAATAAGCGGCTCCCATGGCGCAGTGGTAAAGCACTCGCCTGAGATTGCTGGCATTTTGCAAGCACTTTGACCTGAGATCATATCCTGGCCAAGGAGGATTGACTGAGTGCCAATCCTTAACTGTAGCCTCTGTTCACCCAACAGCGAATGGGTACCTGGTTGTTAAACGATTTGACAGGTCGTATTCTGGGGATAATTAGGATCAAGGACCTGCACAAACTGCTATGCATGCTAGTGTCTTTACAACAATGTAAGAACTCTTGTATATATAAAATATAAAATAAAATATATAAATGTGCATTCATTGTGCAAATGCCCCAGGGTGGTTGCCCCAAGCCAGCCATCATGCAGAAGTTATCGCAAATATATTTTCTACATTCCATTCGCTCTTGGAGTCTCGAACCCCACAAGTGTGAGGTGTGAGGCTGAAGCTCTATTGACTGGGCTATGAGTAATTTAATAAGGAAAGTTTCCAGAAGCAGCATTCTGCTGCCAAACTAGAATTTTCTGGAAACGCTTCTTTATGCTACTTCTGGAAACTTTTCTTATTAGACTACTAGCACCTATTATAGCCTTGAAGGAAAACTGAAAAATATTCAGTGGTTTAAGTACCAGAATGAAACCACATGTCATTCTGCTTAAACTGCCCATGATGTTGCCAGGGGAGGTGCTCTTCAGCATTACTCATAGCCTGATTTTAAATGTTTATCAACAAAAGCAAATTTGATACTGTATTCTGAACTTCTCTTGATTATCTAGACACCTAATCCAGACAACTGATAAATGATCAAATCATAATTCTCTGGTTACATCCAGACCTCCACCACTGAATGAAGTTACATTAAACAAGACCTACTGTAGTGCATTTTGAAGGTTTTCAACAACCTCTCAGAATAACATTTACCATTTATATTTACCCAAGCCATCTCTAATGAGCAGCCATAATGCATTGGCAAGCCTTCATAACACATGCTTGTATTATTCCTACACTGCATTACGTGACCAAAGGTTAGAACAGCATGGCCCAGGAGCTGACACTCAGTCCTACAAACTGTTACAAATGTACAGTACTGCCAACTTAATACAGTGGCACCTCGACTTACGATAGCCCCGACTTACGATACTTTTGAGTTACAATGTAAATTTGATCGAAAAATGCGACACGACTTATGATAGTGTCATCGACTAACGATATTTGTTGGTACACGTTTAGGTCGACCGAGCACGTGGTTCCCGTTCACACGGGCCGACCTGCCTGTTTACTAGAGTTGCCCACTCAGTGATGATCTCGCCTATAAGAAATTCCGTTTTTGTGGTGATTTTTTTGGCTTTGAACATAAAACTGATTATTATACGTATATCACGCCATGGGTACAAAAGTAAGGTTCAACATATGAAAACCCATGTAACGATGACCATAGAGCAAAAACAAGAGATCATTCGTAAATATGAAGATGGTGTGCGGGTTGTTGAACTAGCTAGGCAGTACAACAAATCTCGGTCAACAATATCCACCATACTTGCTAAGAAAAAGGACATTATGAGTGCTGAAGTGGCAAAAGGTGTATCAATAATCACGAAACATAGACCACAAACACTTGAGGATGTTGAACAGTTATTATTAATTTGGATACACAGCAAGGAGTTAGCGGGTGATAGAGTTGCAGAATCCATCATTTGTGAAAAAGCAAGGAAATTGCATAAAGACCTTTTAAAGAAAACCCCTGGAACGAGTGATGCAAATGCAAAAGAGTTTAAGGCGAGCAGGAGATGGTTTGAGAAATTTAGAAAAAGAAGTGGCATTCTTAGTGTTCTGAGTGTTGTGTTTTGCGAGCTGGTGGAGGAACACAGCGAAGAACTGACCACCGAAGAACTTCACAAGGAGCAGCAACAAGAGACAGCCGAGGAAATTTCTTCAGGGAAGGATGAGACTGTACAGAATGTCCCTTCCTCATTAAGAAAATGTGTGCAGCATGGGAAGAATTGCAAACTTTTGCTGAAACAACTCACCCAAATCTCGGTGCAGTAGGCCATTGCCTTAACCTTTTTAATGACACTGATGCCTCACTACAGACAAAAATTAAAACATATGGAAAACAAAAATCCCTGGAAAGGTTTTTAGTGAGACAAACAAGCACTGAACCACAACCAGGTCCTAGTGGTATGCAGGCAAAATGTAGGAGAGAGAGTATCCCAGAAAGGTCATCACTGCCTGATGTTATAATGGAAGGGGATTCTCCTTCCAAACAGTAACACCTCTTCCCCCTCTCCCCCTCTTCACCATCTTCCATACACATCAAGAGTCCTCCATAAAGGTAAGCTAAACATATGTACTGCATTGCAGTTAGAGAAAAATATTGTATTCAGTATAAAATGTATTTTTAAGTTAATATTTTTGGAGGTGTGGAACGGATTAATCCAGTTCCCTTTATTTCTTATGGGAAAAATCGCTTCGACTTACGATATTTTGACTTACGATACGTCTCTGGGAACGGATTACCATCGTAAATCGAGGCCCCACTGTACTTGCTCACCATTTTCCACTTAATCATATACTGTACTGTAATCCTAGTAGCTTCCATATTTCTACCTAGAAACATGAATACCTGACACAGTTGTTCTATTAATGACATTACACAGAGTTAAGCACCGAGTTTTTCACATTCAAAATTTTAACTTTATTTTTTAAATTTTTGCTTGATACTGATATTTTTTCGTTGCCACCAGCAGCGGTTAGTCGGCTGTACACCCTATACTTATCCTGTGAGTGGTGATGCAAAAGGATTATTACCAGCATAAAAGGTTCTAATCAGATCCCAGTGGATGATTTTTAACATTAATTGTTACAGTTTCTATATAAAAATATTACAGTGTGATTAAATGGTAATCAATAAATCTCCTTTAATTTCATTATCTTATTAAAGTTCTTGCATACAAATTTGCACTACAGTAATCTTATTTTTCTACAGTGAATGGATGGTTATATTTTTAATTCCAGGGATGTATGAGAAAACTGTGTTGGGCTTCCCATACTTTGTTAATTTCATAATCTGCATGGCTCCACAATCTCTCAAAACAAAGGAAAATATCAGTGCAAGCAAGAGAGGTTATTTAATTGTCATGAAAGAAACAGACAGCCATCCAAAATCAATGACAGAAATTAAAAAATTTTAGTTACTTGTCAGTCATAACATTTATTAGTCTTAAATGGTTTACCAATGGAAAATAGATTAGTCATTCTACAGTATTAGTTTAATAAAAAAAAAAAAAAACAGTGTTGAATGTAATGAAATGCCATTTTCTGGGGGGAGCCCCTACGGCTCCCTGGAGCTTATCGGGCTAATGTGTGTTATGTTAGACCGGGACATTAGCTATGGAGTTCAGACCTACCAGGGACCAGCGCCAGAACCTGGCCCCTTCAGAGAGGTTTCAGGGAGCAATGGCCCTGGAAAACCCCATATGGTTGGGGGTTTTCCTTATCTGCCATCGACCGGGGTTAGGCACCCAGAAAGGTAGGCGTAACAAAACAAACCCCACATGGTAAAAAACTACAACAAAAACCGAACAGAGAGGTAGAAAACTCCCTACAATCCCAAGGAAAACAATCAAACAATCAATTTACTGCCGCGCCGGTCGTCCGCGCAGCCCTCCCCTCCCCGGGAGGGGGAGGGGGGGGGCCCCGGACCTCACCGCGCCGGCTGCCGTCAGTTCGCAAGCTAGTGTCAACCGGGATAGACGCTTCTCTGGCCTCAAATTCCTTGGCGGTGTTTGCCTCGTGTGGCGTTCTCTGCTGTTGTTGTGGTGTGCGGTGGCCAGAAGTACCTCATCAGTGCCGGGGCTGCATGCGTCTAGGGCTTCCTTCCCTAGGCGCCCTGTGAGTACTGCCCTTGCGTGTCAGGGTTATCTTCTCTGGGCGTTCGGGAACCGCTCCCGTAGAGGTTTTTGCTGCTCGGCATTTGCCTCGCCCTTGGGTCCAGCTGGGGCTTGGGGCCCTTGTTTGGCCTTGGGTAGGGAGTGGTTTTGTGCTGGTTAGGGCGTCAAGGTGTTGCGCGGCCTGCCACCTAAGCGGCGACCGGTTCCTGTTGCTCTGGGGACGGTGTACTTTTGCGGGGTTTTTCTTTTGTTTTGTTTTTGGTTGCCTGGTGGAGGTGCTGCCTCGTGGGCCCATAGTTCCCTGGTATTGTTTTGGTGGTCCTCTGCTAGGCCCCCGTGCTTGTACACGTCCCAGGGGCTTTCAGTATTATCATTACCCGTGTTTTGTTTGGGTTTCTTAACCGGTTAGCAACACCTTGCCCGGGCTTCCCGTAGTTGCTACCCTACGGGCCCTGGAAACCCCTGTCGGGGCTCGGGGACCCATGGAGGCGTCTCCCGAGTTCCAGCCTGCCTTGTGCGGGTTTGAAGGTTGCAGTGTGCCCTTGTCTCAGGGTGACAGTCACCTGTTTTGCCTCCGTCATGCTGCCTGTTGGGTCAATGACACCTTTGACCCGGAGTCTTGCGAGTCCTGTT